GTATAGTAAAGAATAACAAATATTTAAATTTGACATTGTTAGTAAGTTATTTAGAAGTATTTTATTTTTAATAAAATAGAGTTTTAGATTAGAATTTTGAAAGTTAATAATTTTAGTAAATAGTAAAATCTTAATAGTAAAGAGGTTTTGTAATAATTTAAGTTAAAGAAGTTTGTTAAATGTTTAAATAAAAAAGAGGTTTTTGCAAAATTTATAAAGTTTGCATATAATTGATATTTTTTTTCAAATAAAACAGATAGATAAATAAAAATAGTCAAGGTTAAATTTTAGTTTAGTTTTTTTAGTATTATGTTTGGCTAAAGTGTCAACTATATTATGTAGTATTGTTTAAATATAATTTGACTTTGTATATAATATAGTTAATATTTTTGAGTTTGATTAGATAATTTAGAATATAAATAATATTTTAATTGTTTTATTTAGTTTGGGAATTATATTTATAAAGTATTGAGTTTGTAAAAGTTTGTATAATAGATAAATTATCAAGATAAATATGAATTAGATGGTTGGTAAGTAAGATAAGAAACAAGAGAATGAGTACTGCTAGTTTTGCTTATATAAAGTTTGATGCATGAGTTATAAAAGTATTAAATTTAATTTGTATATTATTTTTCAGAATCTAGACAATGCTAGTGAAGATGTTATATGTTTGTAAATTAAATATAAAAGCATCTGTATAAAAATCTAAGTTAGTTGGGTTAATAAATAGTAATTTTTTATAGAGGTTTATAAGTTGGTTTTAATATGTAAAGTCAAATATTGTGTTTGTATTAGCAAGATTTCTAAAAAGGATAATAAAAAAGATAGTAAAAATTTTGAAACAGATTTATATAAATTTGTATAACTATTTTGAAAAGCTTGAATTTCTTAATTGTTTATATTGAGTTTAAAGTATTGTTTTCTTTTTTGTGTTTTGCATTTTAGATTAATAGTTTGTTTGTAATTTATTTAAAATATTATAAATGTAGAAGAAATATAAATTGTGTTAGTTGAGTTAATAATTTGATATTTTTAAAAAAGTATTTGAGAGTTAGATGTTTCTTATTGTTATTAATATTATTATTAATATTATTATTTTTATTTTTTCTCCTAATAGGCATGTTTAATTCTCTTAATAATTGGATTATTTGTACTTTTTTAGATGTTTTTTTAGATGTTGCTTTGGATTTTGTTGTTTTAGATTTAGTAAGCTTAGTTGTAAATATTATAGGTTCTATAAAAATAATAAATTCAGTATATTTAGCTAATGTAAAAGAAATAGTAAGTTTATAAAGTAGAAAAATATTACAGTAATATAATTGCTAACTACTTCTAACCTAATAGTACAAATCATATATTATTTTTTAAAATATTTATTATTATATTAAGCATCTCCAAAAAGGACTTAATTTTAGAAATATACAATAATTATTTTAATATATTATATAATTTATATAATTAGATTAGAAGTAGTTAATAATTATATTACTATAACATTTTTATACTATAAATAACTTATTAATAAGTTTAATGAATTTAACAAGTGTATCATTAGATTTTGTAGATTTAATAGATTTAGTAAAAATGATGGGTTTAGTGAATTTAGCAAAGATGATAAGTTTAGTATAGTCAGTAAAAGTAGTAGATTTAGTGTATTCAGTAAAAGTAGTGGATTTGGTGTATTTAGTAAAAATAGTAGATTCAGTAAATTCAATAAAAATAATGAGTTTAGTAAATTCAGTAAAGCTAATAGGTTCAGTAAATTTAGTAAAAGTGATGAGTTTAATATATTTAGTAAAGATAATAGATTTGGTGAATTCAGTAAAGATAATAAGTTGAGTATATTTAGTAAATATGATAAGTTTAGTAAATTTAGTAAAGATAATAGATTTGGTGTATTTGGTAAAAATAATAGGTTTAGTGAATCTAGTAAAAATGATATGTTTAGTAAATTTAGTAAGAGTAATAGGTTTGGTGAATTTAGCAAAAGTAGTAAGTTTAATGGATTTAGCAAAGGTGGATTTAGTAAATTTAATAAATAAAATAAAAATAGTAGTACATTTTAAATTTAATAATAATTTAATAAAACAGTTATTTTTTTTAATAATAAATTGAAATATTTTTAACTCTATTAGTTTATTCTTAATACAGTAAACATTTATTAGTAATATATTTTTTATAATAAAAATGTTTACAATTTAAACTTGTAACTAATTTCTTAAGACTCTAATTAATAACACATTTGCATATTATGCAAATAATTTTTTTTTTAATATTAATATTTGGCAAAATATCTTTAAACTCTTTATAAAAAATAATTTTATAAAAAAATTGTTTTAAGAATTCTATGTTTGTTCTTTAAAAAATAATAACTAATTTATTTATATATTTATCTCTTAAACTGTAGACTATTTTCAGACAAATTTGTCTGAAAAATTAACAAAAATATACTTATGATCTATATTTTTTAAATTTTAAAATATTTAAATAAAATTT